ACATTCTCCTCTTGTTACTGCAGTCCGCTCCTCAGAGAGACAGGGAATTGGCAAGATGGTCTGTGAGGATGAAAGACTTTGAAAGCCGACCAGTATTTTTTATATATTTTCTTCTGGAAGAAATATGGACAACCTAAGAAAGCTGGATTAGCCCCATCCTACTCCCTATGGTCCACTTTATTTTAAAGTCTATCAAGCAATCAGTGCTGTTAGCTCAACAGATGGCTTGTTAATCTTTAAACCAACAACCAGATTTCAGATTGCCTTCGATTTTGTAAACTCTTCTCTGAAGAAAAAAAATCATGAAATATCAAAGCAAAAAATAGAATGTTGGTCCCAACACCAGAGAGACCCACAGTGTATTCTTTTCAGTCCTAGCTGTTAAGGTCAGATCTGGACAGCTTTTTTCAGTTGGGTGCTCACACATCCACAGGCAAAGAAAGTAAATGCATTGAGTCATTTTTTTGAAAATAATGAGCAAAACACAGAACATTTATCAGCCAAAGAAGGAGCACAGCTCACAAGCTTGATCAACTCAGTTGCCATTAGTGAGCAGCATAAATGTTTTCCCTGAACTCGGAGACAGCCTTGAAAACATATCAAAAATTTCCCCAGAAACCTGAAACCTGGGCCTTCCCTATACCAAATTACTGACAGGTAGATTTTGTTTTCAGAGTCCTCACTATCTCTTTTCCTGATGCTCTCAGGAACTCATACCCCATGCTACCCCAAGGTGCCCAAGGACACACACACACACACACACACACACACACACACACACACACACTTATTAAGTGATTCACACTAGCTCTGCTTCTTTTAATGTTGAAGAAGTTAATGCCATAAATAAAGGTGTATTTCCTTTTACTCTCCCCTCTCTCCCCCATCCCATGAAACTGCGGGGCTCTATGTCTACCTTGTGGCTTTAAGATCATAATTTCCCTGGGTTGGAAGGAAACAGTCTTGGATATTGAGTACCCCCTGCTGTATCTATATGACCCACCAATTCATTTGGTGCATTGGAGACAATCCATATAATGAGTGTGGGCAGATGTGGGGTGAGGAATTCATGTCTTCCTTTTCTATAAATTCTGATTCGCCTACTTGGAACTGGAAGCCAGGTGGGGAGGGCATTTACAAATGTGTGATAAGTGAGTTTCCCCCTGGTTTGCTTTCTCTGGGTCTGGCCCAGCCAACCTGGTGAATCAATGATACCTTATTGGGAAGCCAGGCTGACAAGAGCTCTGGAAATGGAAGAGGATACTCACTACCCTCCTGCCAGCAGGGCTGTACTTGACACTCTGGGTTTATGTTGCTACACAAGGAAACACATGCTAATCAACTCTTCCTTCCCAGGAAGTTGCACCAAGATCATTTTCTCCATCTCTCCACTGGGAAACCAAATCATGCACAGTGTTGAACAAGCTACCCAGGAGCTCTCTGTGAAAGGGAAACAAATCCTCTCATCATGTCTTGAAGAAACAAAAAGCTTTTCAGAATCGTAGATATTCCTTATTACAATGCTGTGACAATGTAGGAACCTTAAATGCCTTCTGAATCCTCAAAGAAACTGCTGCCGCTAGCTAGTGGCATTTTCATAGTTTATATTATTATCCTATTCTGTTTCTTTGAAGGTTGGGAAACAATTTATCAGGAGAGGCAGTCAGGGTCCTGTAGGGGACAGTGACTGGGGACTATGAAGACATTAGTGCCAATCCCCAAGCCTGCAAGTGTTTCGATTTCCACACCTGTAAAATCAGTGAGTGAGATCACCTCTAGGACTCTTCTAGTCCTGACATTCTGGGAGTTTGCCTATCTCAGGAACCCTGAACATTTAATTAAGCAGAATTTTTCATTCCCTGACTGTACCAGATAGATGACAGAGCTTACTGGATAAATCGAAAGTCTCGAGCCTACAAGGAAAAACTTACCCACATCTCATACCGCCTTATCCTTGTTGATGTCAGAAAAAGAATTATTGTGGGTAATCAGAGCAGGACATAAAAAAAGAACAGCGTGTACCTGGCTGAATTTGTATATCAGTGTGTCACAATTTGCCAAAGTGCTCTTGAAAGTTCAGTCTTCCATTACGTAACTTTTTTTTTTATCACTTTCTTAAAAATGTTCCCCTTGGGTCGGCATGTTTTATGATTTGCCTTGCTTCAGAGATAAGCACATTGTCAATGATTAGACTAAAATCCCCAGGTAGTTTTGAATTTAAAAGGTTGAGGTTTTGATGCTAAAGGGGAAGGTTGAGCAAAGAAGCTGCTGTTTAAAATACTTAGAAGGTAAGATGGTATTTGCCTCAGAGAAGAGTTAATTTCAAAAGCTTACAGTTATAAAATAGGTAGCTCTCCATGTACATAAACAACTGTAAAGATTTGGAAAATTAAGAAGCATGTCAGGATCAAAATCAGAGCATCCACGGAGGGCCTTTTTGGGTACGGCCGTGAGCCTCAGCAAGCTCTTCCCATTCATTGGCGTCGCACACTGTCAATCAGCGGGGCGAAGCATCCCTACAAGTCAAGGGAAGAGCATTTCCTTTCAGTTCTGGTCATGAAGGGGTCCTATAGCCTATTATTTATTTCAAAAAAATCTTATTTCTCCTCCAATTGGTTTTAAGTTAGGAAAAATACATTTCATTCTTAAACAGTGAGATGGAGCTAACTTATGTTTTTTAAAGCACTCATACTTATGGCACTGTTAACTGAAAATCTACATATAGAAATCAGGCAGGGGGATGATTATTAACTTAGGAGGCACCTCTTAACTATAGATGCAGAGAATTACAAACTAAAATGTGGGAATTCACGTTTGCCACAGCTGAACAAGAATATGACTACAGTACAAAATTCCTCAGAGCTTGTTCCTATATAGGTACTTTCACTTGACTAATGCAATTGACCACAAGCAAAATAACCTCTTATTAGTAAGAATATAAAGATTATTTTGGAAGGAGCAACCTGGAATGGGTTATGTAATTTGTGAGGGCTTTTCTAACTGAATGTGACTCACACAGTCAAATAAACACGATTTATTTAAAATTATAAAGGTTTACCTTAGCAAAGGCTTGATTTTCTTATTGATTAGGAAAAGAAAGGTGCATTCAGTTAGCATCTTTCTATGGTAATACTTACAGGGCTATATTATAACGTTGTCCTCCAGGGGGCGTTAAATCTTCAGCAAAGCTCCAAATTCTCTGGCAGGCCTTTAAATCTAGTTAGCAAAAAACAGCCTGGCTTCCGTCTCACTAGAATTCGGGAATTCCGAGGCCCATATTCTGAATTTTACATCTCAGGCTTCTAGTGTAGGCTTTACAATTTTTAGTAAGGTCAGGGTGGGCATGGGAAGCCCAAGGACTTGGGGGGTGTGCCCGTGTAGTCTGGCCACATTGCTCAGAATGCCCTGCTGCTGGTCTTGGATTGGCTGGCTCTCATGGTCCATGCTGGTAACCCTTTAAGAGACTATTGATACGGATAGGAACTGTAGTGCTTTCCAAGGGCAGAAATGGGATTCCTGGAGGCCCCAAGATAACCTAGAATGGGTTGGAGAAGGCTGTGTGGGTCAAAAGGGCAAGATACCTCCTTCCTAGCTAAGCTGCACAAAAGGCTGTTTTTGTTGTTATTTTTTAATGCAACCATCACTTAGGAGTCTGCGAATCTCTAGGTCTGGGGAACTTTGTGTAGTCAAGTCTACAATTGTAAAGAAATGGAGTCCAGTGGTTAAGAGGTCCACATGTTCTGGAGTTGACTGGCTGGGTTTCACTTCTTGTAAGCTCTTCTTCATTCACAAAAGACTGTCTCCTAAGGTCAGTGTAAGAATTAACTAAGACAACCACAAACAAGTACTCGGTATATAGGAAGTGTTTCATAAATGCTTTCGTTACTCTTATTCCCGAGATGCCCCATGATATGGCCCCAACTTGTCTCTCACTTCTCCCCTACATAGACTCCTTCATCTCAAATCCCTCCCAACTTTTATCCCTTTGCTCCCTCTGTTTCCTCTATCTTCCTTGGTTACAGCACCCTCTGATGAGATCCCACACAAATTTCAAGGATTATCTGTAATGGCACTTTAAAACAAAATAAAACAAAAACAAAAAATAAAACAAAACCCCACAATTCCCTACTCCAAGAACTAAATGAGCTTTCTCCTATCTCTGAACAATATCAGGGATACAACTTGAGATATATATATGTATACACACACACACACACACACACACACACACACACAGTTGTTGAAATTTATAGAGCTATACACATAGTATTGGTGCATTTCTTTATAGGTATGTTATACCTCTGTAAATCAATGCAGTAGGAACATAATGAGAAGGCCTCAATCTTTGGAGAGAGGAAAACTTGGTTCAAATTCAAGTTCTGATACTTTTCTACCTGGTGGGTCATTGAACCTCTGTCATCTGCAGTTTCCTCCTGTGTAAATGGGGTATATGGGTATATTTGTTCCTTTATCCTCTTGTAGTGAGGGTTTAGAAACCTAATAATAATATAAAAGTGCCTTGCACAGTGCTGGCACACAGTCAGTGCTACATGGCTCTTGGAAATAGCTATGCTAAAAAGGAAAGTCCTATGTTTGTCCCACACCCCTGCCCACCACATGGTGATGTTGATGACAGAATATGTGCTATCTTTTTCTTTTCCATGTGTCTGGCATAGAGTAGAAGTAGTGTATTTGGCGATAAAAATAACTTTATGGCTAAACCCACTCAACTTTCAGCTAACAAACACCTGGAGGCATCCCAACTTATTCAGCCTCTGCAGGATGGCACACTGTGTATTATCACCTGGGTTTGCTAAGGCTCAGTATTCTGAACTCTGACAGACACTTTAGTCAGTCGATAATCTGGCTATAGCTCCTCCATGTACAGTAGCGCTTAATAAACATCTTTTATTATGAGAGTTCTTTAGGTTCACAAGGGTTGTCTGTTTCTCTTTAAAGCAATGGAATGACTGTGCTTTCTTGACCAATAAGTCACTCTGTTTTCCATGGTTCAAAGTTAAGCTTTTATTTAGTTTTAAATTAAAAAAATAAATTTCATTATTAAATAGTGAGATGGAGCTAACTAATATTCAGATAGTAGCTTACTCAGGAATATACCATCGGGGGGTACAATTAAGGGGTGGATCACCTAAACTAAAATTATTTGTTATGTTGTCATGTCTGTTAAAAGTTCAACAGTGGCATAATTCAAAAGAAACTGAGATACAAAGTTTTAAATGTTTACAATGGATGGGAGAAGTAAACCACTTAATCTACGGCAATTGCTAACAAATTTCTTTCTCAGCGCCAATCAATTCGGACACTATACCACAGTGCTAATGTCGTCAGGTTCATCTGCTTTCTTTTGCCTGCTTGGCAGGGATTTCAAGTATTCAAGGTGTCTCCGGGCATCCTCCTGATTCTGCCTCACGTAATACACCACATAGGAGATCACCATGGTAAACCAGCCAAACATGGTGACTAGCATGGCATAATCGGTAGTTTTTTTAGGGAGGTTACAAAGGTCAGCATCATTGGCAGCATTGAGGAATGGTCTCCCGGCATGTTCATCCAACACAGAAGTCTTACAGATCACATTGTGGGCTGTCTCGTGATTGGACGCCATGCTTCTCAGAACTTGCTGGAGAGTACAGTCGCAGTGCCAGGGGTTGTTGGCAATTCTGGCCCTGGCCTTCAGATTGTTGAAGGCATTTTTGTGCACGCTTTGAATCCGGTTGTCGGACAAGTCCAGAGTCTGCAAAGTTTCAGCTACTCCTTTGAAGGCATGCTCATCGATAAACTCAATGCCATTTTTGGACAGGTTGAGAACTCGTAGTTGATGGAGGTCCTTAAAAATCTCATTGGGGATAGAAGTGATCTGATTCGAGTCCAGATACAGTAAGACTGTTTCAGGAGGAAGATCTCTAGGTATTTCCTTGAGATTTGCATTGCTGCAGGTGACATTTAAACCCCCAGAGGAAGAACAAAGACAGCCCTTGGGACACATACTGGCAGAATGAAAGCACAGTATCATCAGAACAAAGCTTTGTAGGAGGAGACACATGGAGAGGGAACGGGTTAACCACAGGTCTACCAGATTCATGCTGGAATGTCAGCATAATCACAAGCCCATTCCTCATTTACTCCAACAACCAAGCATAGCAGCAGTTCCAGCCCTGTCCACACCGTTGATTTCCACACTGTTGATTTCCTTCTTGCGTGGTTCAAAAGGCTGCAACTAACACATGTGTCTCTTCATTATTCCTGTCCTTGTTTGGGTACCTAAAGGAAATGGAAGCAGGTGCAATTAGCTCTTTTGCACAGGGAGGTACACTGCAATTAAAAGTGATCTTAGGCATCTGGCATTCTATGCAGGCAGGAGGGTTGGTTACATGGGTAATTTCCATCAACACCACTGGGAGTTATCTGTGTAATGGGAATCTCCTGTTCAAATCCCAGGTACTGGGGGAGAAAACTGTCAATAAATGATAGCATTTCCGAATTGCATTGCCTTGATTTTAGTTATGCGGAATTAGAGCAAACAGTCCAAATTTCTCGTCTCTACTGGTACTTCTCCACATCCTGTACCTGTTCTAAATTCTACAGCAATGAAATATAATTAGGCCTTTCTTAAAATAACAGATGCATTAATGCAATTTAGCCCTGCACTTGGGCAGCAATGAGAAATAATACTAATATTTCACAGCTAATGACCAACGATAGCAATAGCCACCATGGCTTTTGAATGGATTTACAATTGGGAATATTTTCTCTAAAGAAATGTCTTACTTGAATTAAGAATGAATACATTCTAAACTTCACAACAAAATGTTGCTAGGAAATGAAAGCCCAGAATTTCCAAAAGAGTTGCCTCCCTGTGACCTCCTGAGATTATATTATACCTGGGAGGGTTGCCCTTAACTGAATTTCCAAAGCATCCTGTTTTCTAAACAACAATTCCCCTCCCCAGTAGATCTTCAAATATGACACATATGTCCAAGCTTTTTTAAAATGTAAGATAAGAAATAAGAAACATTAGCCTCTAAGACTTCCCCAATAGCCCATGTTTTTTCTTTCTAATCATGTATTATTAGTTTTGGAAGGGCCTCAGAAATTGCAAAAAATAAGTAATATGAACAGGGTTATGAGCGTCCTCAAAAACAGAGATGAGGATATAAATTAACCCTCGAGACTACTCTTTCATGTAGTCAGGTATCTTTGGAGGCAAGTGGATCTTGCAGAGATTATGTGAATTGCCCAAGGTCAAATAGCGTGTAGGTGGTAGAGGCAGGACTTGAGCCAAAGACTTGTTCTGACTCATTAATCTTGCAACCCTTTCCGCTACCCCCACAGCTTTCTCCCAATTCCATCTGCTCTATGAGGACAGTCAGGATCCAGGGAGCATTGCTTGTTGTGATTTCTGATGCTGTTATTTTGCAGCTAGACCCAAACGGAGGACCCTGTGGAGCTCCACTGAGGTGGTTCTCTACATTGTGGAGAGAGTCCAGACCTAACTTCAGAGAATTCTCTCTCAGGACTGGAGAAATATTCACTCATCTTACAGCAATGAGCAACAAATGACTCTGCAAACTTATCTTTTCTAAAGATCCCAGATGAATAAATACAGAGGGAAATTACTCCAAATGTTACCAAACTTGCCGAAGAGAAGATTAATGTGAGCTGAAAACGTAATGAGCTGGGTTGTTAATCATGGAAAAAATGAGATTAGCAACAGCAGAATGGAGTGGATGTGCTTTTGGAATCCTGAGTCCCTTAAATGCCAGAGAATGCTAAAGAAAGACCCCTAGGCTTACGAAGCCATCCATCAGTAGCTCATTTCATTTCCAGTGAAATTTTCCCTCCCTTCCATATTTTCCTTCAAAAGTGCATTGCCTGGCATTTAGGGAGTCTAATAATTGTCTAGATGGGAGAGAGAGAAAAAAATACATGGGTGTGGAGGGGAGGACACTCAGACAGGAAAGAGGGCAACAGGAGGACAAGGCAAAGGATCCTAGAAGGAGGACATGAGAAGGATACAGGAGATGAAAGAAATGAACGTGATTAGAGAAAATAAACGGTGTCCATGTCATCAAGCAACTCCCATCAGCTGAATATGTAGGCCTGCCTAAATCCTGTTAAAAGGTGGGGAACATCTGGAGGACATTCCACTTCTCTTTAGAGAAAAATTAAGAGTCTACCTGAAGAAAAGTGTTCTCTAATTTAGCCTGTAATCTCCATGCGGGCAGAGGTTTGTTTGACTCATGTAGAAACAATAGTACGCAATAAAGTGGGAAGTACACTGGGTTTGTATCCCGGCTTTAATCTTTATTAGCCGAGTGCTGCTGGGTAGGTTATTTAACCTGTCTAAACAGCACTCCCCTTATCTTGTATAGAGGTTATAAAAGCACCTGGTTACAAAAGTTGATTTGACAGTTATACGAGATGATCCATGTGAAGCATTTAGCACAATACCTTATAGGTAGTTAAGAGCTCAATACTTGTTAGCTATAGTTACTATTGTTATCTCAGATACGTTCCCAACTTCTAGCATAGTGTTTGACATGTAGTAAGGGCTAAATATCTATTATATGAATAAAGTTCTGAAAAATCTAGCTGTGCTTTTTCTTCTCAATGGTAACTATTTTTATTATTTTTAACATAGACATTGGCTCATCAAATGTCTATTGGTTTTACATGTCAACATGATGGTTTGGGGAAAAATCCTGAGTATAAGCTCCTGGTTGATGGAAGGAAGAATGGAATTCCTTCTCAGTAGGCTCCTCTAGAGTTAATCATGGTTTCTCCAGAATGGTCTATCCAATGGTCATGATCACAGACAAGAAAAGGTTAGAACATGTCTTGAGTTCTCAACATCAAAGTAAAATTCCTCTTGAAATGGAATACTTTATGCCGCAAATGGTCGACCTATCCACTGTGTGGAATGCCTATTAGGAGTACAGATACAGAGTATTCCTGGCACTCAAAGAGATTGGACTCAAAGTATTTTATTTTCTCTCTATGATGCTTGATAAAAGGGGAATGAAAGCTCCTGGGATTGGCTAGATTGCTGGCCTGCTATGACTCAGCCTCTAGAGCCTTCACCCTCAGCCAGGACAAAGTGACAAAATATGCAGGGTGTAGAGAGCTGAGCCCTTGGATGTCCAGAAGGCAGAGAGTAAAGCTAAAGATATCGAGTCAAGGTCATCTTTGGCAGGGAGAATGGAAGAAATGCCTCTCCACTCTATTAGGCTGAATTACTATTTTCAAAAGGGATTGCCATCTTGATGTTGCCTGAATTTACTGGATAGGTCAACCGTGGTTCTTAAAAAAAAAAGGCATGAGGAGATGTGTCAGGGATTTAAAAGTGGGTATTCTTCTGATATCGGTTACTGTCCAGCAGAATACAGAGCTAAGGAGGAGTCTGGAAACCTAAAAGTCCCTGCTCTGTCTCCAGTCAGGTCTACCCACAAACCCATAGCAGCATACAAGCTATCCCACTAGGTGTGTGTGGGGGTGGGGGGTGGGAAGAGCTCCTACTTACTAACTTCAGAATGAGTGGGTAGAACATAAAGAGGGCCTGAGGTCCCACTGGTGATGGCAACAGAGTCACTGCCTGTCTTTCAGATAAGGAATAAGACCTACCAAAAGAACAGACCAAATTAAACAGCATCTTTTCTCCTTCTTAAGTGCCCAACTGCAATTCTCAACTCATCAGACTATTCTTATCCCCTCATTCCCTTCCTGAGGCAATGAGGAAACAATAATATTTCTGGATGTGGTCTCCAGGTATGAGCTGTGCCACCAAAGAGTTCCACTTTATCCCTGCACCCGTATCTTGCTCACATTTTCCTGTCACCAATGTTTCTGCACCATAGCAATTAATGCTGGGATTGCGTGGCAGCCATCAAATGCTGCTTCCAGAAGAAAAAAAAAGTGCACTTATCAGCCTGAGAAGACAGTTCTTTCAGTGGCTGATTAACATCTCTGTCTTGATTTCTGTTTCTTTCTCCTCATTATTAGGGGATACTCAGGGACACTCAGGGCTTCTAACTCAAAGGCTTTCATTAACTCCTCTGAGATAACAGAGTGCACCAATTCAGAAAAAAATACCAGACACACCAATTTCTTCCAATTATATTCCATACAACTCTGCTACCAAACAGAAGAATTTGATTCAAAAGCAAAAAATAGCAAACAGAAAGGCTTTCAACTCAGGACATAAAATTCAAATCAATGAAAACAACTTTATAAATTTAAGTACTTAAAATTAAAACTTCTATATGGCAAAAGGTAAGACCACACACGAAGTGAAAGGACAAATGATAAAATAAAGGGCTAACTTCATTAACATACAAGAAGTTCTTACAAAGGAGTAAGAAACTGATACAATGGAAAAATGGACAGAAAAACAATAAATCATATGAATATTCCTGATCTCACCAACAGTAAAATAAATTCAAGTTGAAGTATCTATCATCTTCATTTAAATTAGGAAAAATATCTAATGTTAACGAAAGTATGAAGAACCAAGTACTCTCAAACACTTAATGTGGAGATAAACTGGGACATTCTTGTTGTATGAGCAATTTAAAAATATCAAAAATTGAAAATTGAAAAACAAGATAGACTGACTTGTACCAATGTAAAGATTTCAAACAATGACCAAAAAAAAAACCACACCAAAAAACAGCTTGACAAAAAAAGGGCTCTTATAATATAATCCCATTTGTGTAAAATTTTTAAAAAGAGGAGGTAAATATGCAACTATAGATGTATAATTTATATGTTTACATATGCATTGGCCATTTCTGAAAGAATATATAAGAAACTATTAATAGTGGTTAATCGAGGAGTGGAGCTCGGGAAGGCAAGAGAAGAGGAATTGTCTGTTTAGTTTATACCCTTCTGTGTGGTTTCAACTTTTTATGGTATAAAGTTGTTTTGTTTGTTTTTATTTTACCCTAAAGGTTGAAACGATTTACTACAAAAGGACCAGGGATTAGCTGGAAAACCAATCCCAATACATGCCCCAGAAAGCAGCCTCTGAGTGCACGAAAGAGCTGGGCAATGGTGGCCAAGAGCGTCGGGCAAATGAGAAGACAATGCATTTTTAAAAGCTGAGCACGTTTCAAAATTAGACACCGAATACACAAAGGGACAATGGTGAGGCCATATATAAAAATAGAACTCTAAGTCACAACCTGTAGCAACCAGCCCAGGAAGCCAAACTACAACCTCTGTTGCAATGAACCGAAATCAGCTAAGTCTTGATCCAATAACTG